TCTCTCTCTCTCTCTCTCTCTCTCTCTCTCTCTCTCTCTCTCTCTCTCTCTCTCTCTCTCACACACACACACACACACACACACACACACATCCATAATCGCTCTCTCGCTCTCACACAGCCAGTAGATGAAGAAGAAATGGCAAGCAAGTAATCAGTGCTTACTTTCTTTGTGTGTTCTCGCAATATGCTCGTCTTGCGAAAATTATTGAGTTCATCTCCACGGACGCTTCCAGCAGTAAAGCATCCTGTTAAACGAGCCAGCCAGCCCATCATTGTGCCATGCACGGGATCTCTGACTCTACAAGCTTTGCTTGGAAACTAGATACCTGCGCAGTCATTGTGGAATGGAGTGAGTAAGTACACAACACATGTCAAAGGTAACCCAGAATGAACAGTGAAAGCTGAATACACCATATGTAAGCAGCAAAAGGGCAAACCGATGCAAGTGACATGATGCGTGAGCCAGCGGATGGGTTTGAGGGCCTGGCTATCCAGACTGAGGTGTCGCTACCATCTGTCAACTACTATGTCCCTCAAGTTCCACTGGGTTCTCAACATTCTATAGGCCGTCTTGACCTTGAGCCTGGCTAATTGCTGCGGCTTGGCCTTGGGTGGCTCTTGGTCCCTTTGGGGAGGTTACTAACTGCCTCTTTCTCAAGGAATTTACCAGTAATCTTTGCACGTGCACAAACTGCTATGTATGGAATCACCACGCCTAGGATTCTTGGTTTCTTTATGCCCTCTATGCAGCAGAAATACTGCATAAGGATTAGCCTACTTCATAAGGATTGACAAAAAACGAGAACAAAAAAGAAGATCAAACCACAAGCCTACGTGGTGTGCCTGTAATCCTCCCCACACGGCGCAGCTTCTGAGTTTCTGCACCTCCCTTCCCCTGCTCAGTCATACCCTTCCTCTCATACCTACTGAACCACACTCCCCCTTCCGATACCGCCTCTCCCCTTCTCCTTCCACCTCAACCCTGCTCTGCTCTTCATCCCATTGTCCTATAGCCCCACCTGTCCTTGGAATCTCAGTTACCCCACCTTTTCCTCTTCTTGTCCCCTACTGATGCATGCCCATCATGGAATGGGCAATGCACGAATCTGAAGGAGCTCCAATGTGACAAGAAGAAATCAAGACAAACAATGCGAACAGCCAATCAGAAATGGGCATCCAGAAAAGATCATAAGGGGGCAGGAAGGAGGGGAGGGAAGAACTTAGCATGAGAAGGTCAGTAGAAAGGCTCATACTACTTGTAAGATTGATATATGGCGGACCTCGGTT